TTGCCTAAGCAGCAAACATCTCAAGTGGCTGCAGTAACACCCTGACCATGGTTCCCAGGGTGCAGTTTCTCAGCACCATAATCTGATCTAAGTGTTGCTGAAGAAGACATTCCTGTGCCCTGTCAGATTTACCCAGCCCTACACCCGTCACTGTTTTGCAGCTGGTGAGATGACCCACTTGCCCCATGGCTGCACCAGTACCCAAGTAGAGTGCTATGGAGGGAACATGCAGCCAAACAAGGAGGACAGCCGGAGGACTCCTGCATGGAGTCAGAGGTAAATCGGATAAATCATATTGTGAAACTGTCCCCTCAGTGGTGATCTCTTCTGTGGAGAGAAAAGCAGAGCAGAGACTCTCTGCTGGATTTGGGCAGGGCTGTGAAACCGGACCTCCCCCACCTCACAAGAGCACTGTTTCTCCATGACTTGGGTGGTGGGTGATGACAGCTCTCTTAAGCTTTTGTGCTAAAGCTGTCCCACATCACATAAATAATTACATAATGTTGTGCTAAAGAGAGAAAGAGAGAAAGACTAGCTCAGCTTATAGTGAAGGCAGCCGCACAGCAGATATGGGTCCTAGTCCCTGCACCAGTTTAGGATTTGTACAAAGTGGTAGAGCCCCTGGAGCAGAGTGTGGCTCATTTGTGATCAGGGACAAACTGACAAAAAGTCATCATTGAACAGCCACACTCTGTAGCAAAAAAAACACAGCGTTAGCAAAAATTACTTGAAAACAGCAACCTACATCTTATCGAGACTCTACACCCCTACACTTCCCACACACTGCAGGGAGCTACTTTCTGCAGAGCAGGAACAGAGGAGCCTGCTTTACATTTCTTTAGCCAGTCCTGAAGTCCTTGAGCCCTTCTGAGGTGAGATGCAGAGATAGCAGACAACTATCTCAACTGGCTGCAGAAGAGCATCCACCACTGCCTGTCCCTCACTGCATGGTTGGGGTGAAAGCCCCCAAAACATAGGCTGTGCTGAGTCATCCTGTTTGCCATTGCTGCCTCCTCAGCTTTGCTGGAGGGGCTTAGGGTAAGTGTCTGCTCCAGGCAGGCAGTTTGACGGGCTCATAAAGCAGGCGCTACCCCAGCTGGCTGCCAAAAGAGAATTGGGGCACAGCCCCAGTATCCCTTTCGCCCACCATGGTGAAGGTGACCCATGCTGAAGGTGACCATGCCCAGATGACAGGGAGTGACGAGCAGCACGCAACCAGCCCTTCTTACCGTGGGTGCTGTGGTCTCTGGGCCGTGCTGCAGCATCCCTGCCAAGTGAGTACAGCCTGGCCAGCTCTTGCCCTGCTCCTGGTGCTGGCCATCAGGGCTGGGGCCAGCAAACAGCTCTGAGGAGTGGCCATCACAGCTGCGAGCTACATACACAGCTAACACCGCCCATCTTCAAGGTCACTTTGCCTGATGCATCTTACAGTCTTTCTGTAGAAAAATACAGTGCAAGTGTTTCGTGGCATATGGTCCAAGAAAGCCCTGTCTCAGGAATGGAGGACAAGTAGGTGGGATGGCCAAGCTCCTCTGTCCTCTCCGTCCCTTGCAGAGGCGCTGTTCACACTTCATGGTCCTTCGAGTGCTTTGCTCCTGCTCACTTCATCCCTGCGCACCCCTGCTGAAGATCACACAGTGGTGAGCAGCAGGGATCACGGCACCATGCCTGTCGTGCTCTGGCATCTTCCCCTCACGCACTCATGGCAGGGGCAGACAATCCTGTGGGAGCTGCTGCCACTGCAGCCGCCCCAGGAGGCTGTGCCCCGGCTGGCGCAGCAGCGCGGCCTGCGAGCCGCCTCAGGAACAGCAGGCAGCGCTCCATCTCCTGCAAGGAAGCACCTCGTTACACTCACACCATCAAAGGGCAGCACAGCAAGCCATAAAGCTGCTCCTGAGCAGCATCTCACCAGGGGAGGTGTTGCCAGGTCTTTCTCTGAGCTGTGCATTGCTCCAGCCTTGCTCCCTCAGACCTAGCTGGAAGCCACTCTCTTCAGTCAGCCCTTGAAGTGCTAGCAGCTACATATATACTTTGTTCCCCTGACATGATGGCTGAGCAGCTTTAGTTTATTATTTAATTCTTGCATTTATTTACTTAATTCTTACATTAAGTTTGGCTGGGATGGACACCCTGGGCTCAAGTATTTGACAGTGCCTGAACTGCCGTGGCTCCCTTCACTCGTCTCTGCAGAGCAGTCCTGTTTCTGCGCTGCTGGCCCAGGACAGCAAGTCTTCAGCAGGGTGGAAAGCAGAGTCTCAGTGAAGCTCCCAGGACTGGTGCAGCTGAATATGGCAGGAGCCTGAGTCCAACCTCTGCTGGGGAGCTGGAGCTGAGGCACAGACAAGTTCTCGGCTGGAGCAGAGCTTGGGACCAGCTCTCCGGGCTTTGGTATCATTTTCTGTGTAACTGGAAAACCCCAGCACTGCATCTAAATAAATGTGTTGATAACAGGTCACTAAATGCTTGTTTCAAATGCAACATTCACTCCCCTCTGAAAGAAGAACAAAAAGTTCTGGAAGTGGGTAGAACTTCATGATTTCCTCATTAAGGTTTAGAACAAGATGTAAGAGCCGTAGTTAAAATTACCCCATTTTTTGCTGCCTCCCACCACACCAGTGAAAGTTATTTTTAGGTTAGCAGCCTTTCCATGAAAAGCACTGGTGACAACCTGCTCATCTTCCAGGGAAGGGAAGCAGGTCTCAGCCACGCTGCTGCATGCAGAGCTGTGCTGCAAGTTGGCCAGTGGCTTCAGCCATGTGTTTTCCCCCTTGCCTTGCCACGCAGGAGCGCAGAGGGCCTGCCTGTTTCCAGCAAACAGCAAGCAGGGTGGTGTTACACCTGCAGCAGCTGCGACCGCAGGCAGCGCAGTCTCATCCCTGCTTGTTCTCAAGGTCCCTCCCCACCCCTGGTTGAAGGCTGGACAAATGCAGCTTCCTCTAGCACTCATGGCAGGGAGCCTCTGCCAGGCACCAAGGCAGCTGCAGGTTGCCCAAGGGCTGCTGCACGGTGACAGGCATCCGCGGCCTTGGTCCTCGCGACGGATCCGTGAGCAGTTCACAGGTGCGGCACAGACCATCCCTCGAGTGGTCTGTGCCTGCAGGCTGGAGCCCTGCGGCAGGCACAGCCACAAACTGCCCCCCCAGCCTCTCCAGCACCCTCAGCTGGGGCAGGCCCTGCTGTCGCGTGCCTCACAGCATCACGCGTGTCCCTGCCACCCCTCTGACCGCGCTGCAGCACCGTCGCGTCTGCCGCAGGCCAGGACCGGTGCCGCGCTCCAGCACTGCCAGGGCGTGACACCTGCAGCAGGGATGCAGCACAGGCATCTTCAGCTCTTGGGCTGCAAAACAATGTGGCAGTTTAATGTCCACTGCACTCGCTCTCCAGGGCCTGAGCTAAATTTGGGCGGACAGAACTCAGCTGCACACTCAGTCTTTCCCATATCTAACTTCAATGATGTCTGTATTCAAATCTAAAGGCACATGCAGACGCACTGGGAACTAGCATCCCAGGTAGAATTACAGGATTTGGTGTGTTCCTGCCATCCGAGGACTACATTTTTAGATCACAAGAACTTTTTTTTTTTTTCCTCTGTAAAATCTGCAGCAAACCTTGTTATCTAGATATTGTACCTGGCAGATCAGTCCCTGTGCCTTCTAGGACTCTTTGTGGTTCATATTCTTACATTATATCCTAGAGAGGAGATTGGCTACTTGAAAACAAAGCAACTGTCCCTATACCACAAGGTGCACCTATTGCAAGTGTGTCAAACCCAGGCTCTAGTGAACAGCAAGAACATCTGGAAGGCAGCACAGTCTCTCCCAAGGTTTTATCTCAGGTTCCTCAAGTGACCTGCCATGTGCCTGCCCTGCTGAATCATTCCCCTCCCTTCTTCATAACTCAGTTTCTTTTCCTGTTCTGTGGGAATAATCCATAATAATCCTCTGTAATCCATTAGTCTGGTACAGATATAGATCTCAGAGTTGTGGCTATGCAGAGCCCAGGCGTTCGACACATTTGCTACAAGATGCAAGAGGATTCACCCAAAGCTCACATGAAAGCTTTGCACAACCAAACGTGGATGCAGAAGACTGCACATCAGCCTCTGAACAAAGCATTTACATGTAATGAACAAATTTAGAAAAACAAAGCATGAATTTTTCACATTAAAAATGAAAAAAAATAAAGAGAACGCCTCTGAATTTTGTTAACATTCATGTACACATTTATTAAGCCAAAGGAGTTTGTTCACGTACTCTCAACTTGTCACAGTACGCTACTAGGGCACATGAAATCCCTTCTCTTCAACTTTGCTAACAATGGTTATTTTAATTACTTTTTTGCCTTTTAAGCTTAAAAAATTAACTCTTTCAACATTCCCCCATGAAAGACTCTTTTATGTTTTTTTTTCTTTTCTTGAAGTACAAAACAAATATTTCTGACATGTAAACATAACCAGCATGGAAATTAAATTGCTCTTGAGGTTAGTTTTACTGCGTTATGGACATTCTGTTAGATTAGTATCAGGTTATATGTATTTCGGCTCAATGACTCCTTCAATGACAGATTTTATCACCTGCACTGCAATACTGTCTAGAGGCCCTAGTTCGGATTAAGGCCCCTCTGTGCAAGGTGCTGTACAAATACTTCAGCGTAACTTGGAGGTCCCTGGTCAGAACGGCATTCATGGATGTGACTGTAACACTCTTGGCTTCCCTGTGGTCAGCTGTGATCCTCACAAGCTAGAGAAACTGGGCGAAACTCTATTGCAAACTAAATCTGGAGTTGAGGTTCAATTACTTTTGAAGAGAAATGTCACTACAGGCCAGTCCTGATGCCTGCAGTACTGTGAGTAAAGCAGTTCACACTCATGGGAATGCTCGGATGAATAAGAAACGCCTGTGAGAAAGGTCTGCAGGATTGAGTCCCTGGTTCATTCAATTGTTGCAAGCAAACATGCAGAGCAGCAGAGCAGTTCCTTGTCCATTTAAACGGCATTGGTAAAACTCTAAGAGAGGAAGGGACAGGGTCACCTGCTCAGTTTCAGCACTTTGAATGTTTTCAGTTCTGATCCTCGAATTAAAAGGGCTTCTGCTCTACCTTGGGCTTCTGTCACTAGGCCTGGAAAAGTCTATTGGACACTCTTAAGTATCAGAAGGCAGCGATTCACTGCTACAAAACAGAGGACCCTATGGAGTGAAGGCTGCATCCTAGGCAGAAATTCTAAAGACTGTGTACAATCACCAGCAAAAATTGTTATGAAAACACTTTGGAGCAATCGTAATTTAAATAATGATTTTAGCTTGACAGCTGAGGTGGACAAAAAAAAAAAAGACGGATTACATGAAATAAATAGCAAAGAAACAATGTTTGTGCACAAATATAATATATTCCTGCCCGCAAAGTATCCCCTGTGAATTACTGCCCCTTAGGTTATGTCAGATGTTTAAATGAACCCTTTAGAGCTAAAATACAGTACTCTGAATTGAGGTTAGAAAATTTTTAAAATGGCTAATAGGAACTGTGTACAATGCTCTCTTTAAAATAAATTTCCCACCTTGGTAGCCGAGGAGTGTGAGGCCTCAATAGACATAGAGGCGGTCGGAAATGGCCGCAGGCATGTGCGTCATGATCTGCATGCGCAGCCACCAGTAGTAATCCATGGGGTGGTAGCGGGTGTAGGGCGCTGTGGCGGTGAGCGCGTGGGCGACGCTCTCGATGACCGGCGACGTGTCTGTGGAGCCGCTGTTGCAGTACGTCTCCATCTTGCTCACCTGCTCATCGAAGTACTTCCTGCCATAGTCCTTGCGCACTATCTCGGGGAGTTCTTCCCACATCTTGTCGGCTATGGCTTTGATTCTCTCGGGGCTGTACAGATTTGTGGCAGCGATGAAGTTTCCAGGCTCCACGATGCTGACCATGACGCCCTGGGGCTGCATCTCGTAGCGCAGGCAGTCAGAGAAGGCTTCCACACCAAACTTAGTGATGCAGTAGGGCGAGCGGGCAGGGCTGCCCATGCGCCCCATCATACTGCTGATGTTCACCACACGACCTGGGCAAAGGTCAGGCAAAGCACAGCCATGAGGCCTGCGCAGCGCAGACAGCCGGCACACAGCCCCCAGCACGTGCACCCACCACCCGCTGCAGCCCCTGTGGCTGCCGGGCAGGCGCACTGCCTGAGGGCTCCTGCTGAGCGTCGCTGCTCTGGGCAACAGCCCTCGGGCAGCAGAGAAGGCCAGCGCAGGGCACCCTGGCTCACTGCCGCTGAGGTACAGGTACGTGGTAACACGCACAGCTCAGTGCTACGGGAAACACTGAGCAATGCAAAGACGCTGGATAAAAGCTGCATGGGGAGAAACGGGACTGCTCAGCAGCAATAAGGACGGAGCCGAGAGAAGGGGAAACAGCATCAAAGGAAACATCTGCACCAAGATTGCGCTTGCTCCTCTTCAAGGCACAGTGCTACCCTGCAGCCAGCGTGGCCGCAGTGCTGGCTGCTGAGAGGACACACATGCACCATGGCGAGCAGAGTAGCCTGACCCCCTGCATCCTCTCCACGGTACAGCTGGAGAAGGGCTGGGGGCACCAAGCTGGGGCCTCTCTGCTCACCAGCAGCCACTCACCTTTGGATCTGCGGATGAGCGGAAGGAAGGCCTTGGTGGTTCGCACTGTCCCCCACAAGTTCACTTCAGCTACTTCCATGTACGTGTCCATGCTGGTGAACTCCACCTCTCCGAATGTGGAGATCCCAGCATTGTTAACCAGCCCCCAGAGCCCTGAAAGGTAATAGCAAGCAAAAGGCTTTACTTCTGTGAGACCAATGAAAGCAAGGCCTCAGGAATGGCCTTCCTAATGCAGTACTAAACCACATAATATAGTTTTTCATTTAAGACCTGTCATGATGAAAGCCAGACAGGAGAGAATCCAGAGCAGACCTCAGTCTCCTGAGCAAACATAATCACAATGTGGTTTTTTTTGCCTGTTCTGTTTTCCAACACTGCAGTCAAACTGTTGTGAATAAGGACATCACTGAGTTCTGAGCCAACAGAGAATTCAACCATGTCTAAGCAGCTTGGCCTTGCCATTTTCTTTTTATCCCTAGTGATTTTTAAAAGAAGGAAAATAGTTTCTGAATGCAAATAGTAAGAACAGAAAAGACCTTGTAAGAAACAAAAGATCGACTCTTTTGAAGTAAAATCCTCTGTGTCATCATAAAAAACTAGAATGACTGCAATGCTGGGAAGGATGATGTGGCATGGGTGGGCACGCATGCCATGGCCTCTCCCTTTTATTCTGCTGTAACCACGATGACAACTACTGTAGCTACCAAGTCATTTGGCAACAAAAAGAAGGATTAGAAAGGAACTTGGAATAATTCAAATTCATTTTATACAATTTCCTAATTATATTCCTGACTACTCAGCCTATGTATTAAGCAGCCTCTTCTGCTACTTCAAAGTGAGCTGTTAATGCCAAAGCCCTATGACAATTCTAAGATAAAAATTAATAAACAATCAGGTCCTTAGTCTGTGTCCTTGACTAGCTTTATGAACATCCTTTGAACTGCCAGAAGTTTCAGTGATGAAAGCCCCCCACAAGGAATCTGCATGCACAGTAAACATGGGGACAGGTTCAACGACCTGCTCTTCTTCACGTAAGCATGGAGAAAAAGGCACAGATTGAGCAGTGCGCTTGTAGGAATGGAAGCAGAGTTCACAGGCTGCATGGTGACCTGCCCAGCAGGGCCAGCAGTTTCACACTAAAAAACTCCAGTCTCCTCTAGCAGGCCTTGCTCTACAATCGCAAAGTGAAGTGTCACACAGAAAACCAACTCGCACTCCCCAGATGAACACAGCAAAGCTAAGAGCACTTGAACTGACAACTCCTGGCCATGAAAGCTTTGAACTTGCCAAGTGCTCAGCGCCCTGCTCCTGATCCAGTGCTGAGCTGTGGGCATGCGAACTGAACTTCCAGCAGCTCCTTTTCCAACTCAGCAATGTGACACAGGACCAGTAGACTCAGCAGAAACTTTGCAGATAGGGGTGTTGAGTGCTGCAGACATTCTTCCAGCCTAATCCAGACTCGTTTCATGCAGGTGGGGACAGCCTTGTGCTCCGCGTGCCCTCGCTGCAGCACCGGCAGCACCACCTGCTGCCCAGCGCGGGCGGGACAAGCCCGTGGGCCTGCACGGCAGCGCCGCTCACAAGGAGGATGCTCTGCCTGGCACAATTTGCTGCTAGGCGTAAGCCCTAATGCCCCAGATCTGGGTCCCTGGCAGGTACAGACGAGTTCCTGAAAAAGGACAAAAATCTGTGTGCTGAGAACTGGCCACTGCGCCACTCGAAAGCACTGAAGTACTGGCAAAGCTTGACCAGATTGACCACAGAATTCATTCCGCCTAGCAGATAACACCCTATAAGGGAGCTATAATCAACTTCTAGTCATGTGAAAGAGAATCAAACCCAGGGTTCTGAAAAAACATCATGATTTTCTGCTAATGTCCCAATAGGAGGTAGTGGATAAAATGGAGCTTTTTCACAGGTGCTGTTTTAGGTGGCAAGAGGGGAGCTGCTTTTTCATACAATACAGAATATGAATAGGCTATTTGCTCTGTACTATTGCTCCTCAAAGTTTGTGCCCTTCATTGGCTCGGCAAGCTTTTGAAATACTTCTGAAAACACTGTAAGGACCTGCTGAGAGAGCCCTTGCAAACAACTTCCACGTGAGATTAGTCTCTTGAGTGCACCTACCTTTCTCGGGATCCTCCAGGCTGCTGTTCACGTGCTCCACTGCGCGGTCCACTTCTTTGCTATCGCAGACATTGAGTTGGACAGTTCTCATTCGATCACTCTTCATGTCGTCGAGCTCCTTGGAGCCACCCTCTCCCTTATCCTAGATGACAGAAGTGAGCTGCTTTGAATCTGTACAAGACACCTTGCAGGAAGAAAAATGCAGAGCAACCACCAGACCAAGCAAAGAGGAGTGCACAGAGCAGCTGCAGAATAGCCAAGGCAGGCCTGCAGCTCAGAGGAAGGGAACAGCTCAGGCTGCTCCTGAAGAACATCATTCCTCTGCACCTCCATGTGACCCCCAGCTTTGTCACCGAGCCATCGGTACAAATGTGACCAGAAAAAATGCAACTAGAGCAGGATCTACCCCAGCAAGGTAAACCCTGCCCAAGAGGAGTTTCTGAGATTGAGCTACGTTGCACTACCGCAGCACCGGGAACGTGGTGCCAGTGTCGCTTTGGCCCTGCACACGGGGCACAGCAGGGTAGGGCTGTGGTGCCCAAGAGCTGGCGAGCAGTTGCTCGCACACCCCGCACGCACTCCTCAGCCACGCTGCCAGCGCAGGCAGCCACAGCTCTGCTCTTCCTGCGGATCCTCCGGAGCCCTACTGCCAGCTGCCTGCTTGCTCTGCCTCACAGCAGCTTTCCCAGGAAAGCTCGTCCTCCAGGAGCTCCTTCTCCTTCCCAGTTCTTTTATCTACTCCTTTATTCTCCAGCAGCTTTCCCAGGAAAGCTTGTCTTTTCCATTGTCTGTTTTTTCCCCCTCTTCCTCCAGGAGCTCCTTCTCCTTTCCAGTTCTTTTATCTACTCCTTTATTCTTAGCTGAGAGCAATTCCCTAATATATATAGGTATGTAGAAAAACCTAATACATATGTATTCACATACATACATCTATACATACAAACACATATATACATATATATCTCCAATCACAGTTCAGCCATGTAACTGCAGCCAGCCTTGAGCCACCTTTCACATAGTCTGGTGCTACCAGCAGCAAGGCTCCCCTGCTCTTCTGCCACTCGAGCAGACCTGCAGCTTAGCCCAGCCTAGGCAGCTACGGTGCTACCAGCATCCAGAAGACGAGTGACCTGGGGAATCTCCCTCGATTGCTCCTGTGGTTATAGGCTACTGGACTGTGCTGGCATTTGCAGGGCTTCTTTGTAGAGACTAGTGAACATCAAGCTTTCGAAAATAAACAGTTCTTTGAAACATCTCTGTCTCTACTGTAAAAAAATTCCCTCTGCCCCTCAACATAATGTCTCATGAGGAGAAACCTTTTACTCCCCATTAATACACTAGCCATGGTGCGTGTCCCATAGGATCATCGAATGGCTACTGAGCTCTCCCACTCCAGGCCCATCCCTCCTCTGTAGCTCTATTTAGTCACCATTAGTGCATCAGCACTGGAGTGCTCTTCATGCCTGAGCTCTACACAGGCAGGTGTGAGAGAGGAGGCAAAGCTTTGTTCCACTGACCTGGAAAGGATGGCTCTTCATCGCGGGCCTGTTTCCAGGCTCCTGAACGGCATTGATTAGTTCAAAGATCTCAAGTACCAGAGTCCCATTACTCCTTTGGCAAGACTCTCTGCAGTCAGTTGTCAGTGAGATGCTGCCTGTCTGTGCAGTCTGAACCTGGAGCATCCATTTGCCCCAGCAAAGTGAGATACACGTTAGAGACCTCACTCTGGCCATGCAAGGGTGGCTATGTTTCCCTCTCTCTGTGCCACCTCTGCATCTTCTCCTAGGGCCTCTTGTTCCTGGGTTTATCCTCTGGGCTCATGGACAGTACCCTGAAGTTCACTAACTTAAATACTTGATGTGTCCTCTTTGCTGTTCTCCATTCTTCCTTATTCTGCTGCAGACTGTTAATATGGATTAGTATTTGTCCTTAGCAGGAGGCATCTGCCACATCCTCATCACACAAGAGCATACTGCATACCAAATGTAGGAGTTAAAAAAATCCATGCATAACTTAGTGATGCTTGGTTTTACGATGACTAAAAGCAATGTTTTGTGCTAATTTTGTTGCTCACTCAAACCCACTTTGGTACCGAAGCCAGTGCACATGGCAAGGGATTAAAGAACACACAAATGGCATATGTAGGAATGCCAAGAGAGAATGAGCAAATGCAATCAAGCAAATCCCTTGGGACCAGCAGATATGGCTTGAGGGAAGTTAGAGAACAGCAAACCTTAGGTGTTTCTCCCCAGATCCAAGGTTCACAGCAAGGTGCTGTGAAATCACCTTGCAGAGAAGAAAACTCCAGAAGCCACTATGAGAACGCAGAATGGAACAGGCACATGCTGGAAAAGGTGCATAGCTGGGGGCTTGATTCTGAAGTATCTAATTCTTGCACACGCGAGCCTGTGAACCACAGCAATGCAGCAACCTCAGAGGCGTCCTGAGCACCACTGGGAACTTCACAGCCTTCTGTTGCTCCCACACCAACCTGGCTCCAGAAGCCAATGTCCCTCCTACAACCCAGTCACGCTGCTAGGTGCTTGGACAGAGACCCCCTGCAATCCCAAACAAGGGTTGGACTTCAGACATTGCCTTGGAACCACAGGATCATTCCCTCCACTCTTTGGAAAGGGCACAGAGTGATGTTTAAGTTACTCTGCCACTAAGTCATGCTCTTCTGGCACAGGACAGAGCTCATCCCACATGCCTTGCTGCCTTCAGCAGCAGCACAAGGACTTTCTCAGGCTATATGGAGGGACCAACGCACCTCCACTGATTCCAAAGCAAGATGACACTGGTCCTACCTATTTAAAACACACACCGCCTCCCCATTTTCCCCTCTGGAGCCCAGCCTGGATCTCTCTCTCTGTATCCCTGAAGTATTAATTTGCTTGATGAGTCCTGTAATAACTTGCCTGCATTCTGGCTTGCTCAGATGGCCTCTGTTGGACCCTGCAAGCCCCAACAGGCTTGAGCACACAAAGCAAACAGGAACTCCAGAACGATCTTGACAGCCAGACAAACACTACACATGCCCACAGGCAAGAGATATGGATGGAAAAAATACCTTCTTCATCTTTTGATAGCTGGCTCCTACAGCTATTAACCAAAAGGGAAAAATAAGACAGCTGCAGTGCGATAGTTCATTGGATCCAGTCTGTCACTGTTGTCAGCAATGAAGCATCAATACAATTCTCATGTGAATATATTTGTCAGTGGAAATGTAAGGAAGAATCAGTACGTGAAATACACCTCTGAAGATAAAAGGGAGCCAGAAGCACAGATACATCCTTGGGCTCTGCTCAGTCATGCCTCTAAATGTATCTCTCTGTTTGCTCAGGTTTCCTTCAGGGGTGCTCAGGATCTGGCCACGTTAGGAAACTTTTCCTAAGAAAGTGCCAGCCCTGCACTCGCTTTGTATCTGCACATAGAAAAGGATGCTCCTACAGAGAGGACACGGTGGTCCCCAGCCCAGCCTCTCAACAGGTAGCGTGCTCTGAAAAAGCCACCTGAAACAGCCTTTTCCTCTCAGTCAGTGCTAGATCAAATATAATCAGTTTAAAAGCAAAAGATGATGCTTCTTATTTCTAGCTACACTTCTGTCTAGAATCTTTACAGAACACACCAGGCCTTTCTTTTCTGTCCTTAAGGTGAGCACTAGCAATAACAACATTCTGATGAGATTCTGTTTATAGTTTTGCTAATGAAGCCTGTGACACAAATAGAGAGCAGCTCATTCTCCTGGGGTTGTTTTGATTCTACAGGGTTAAGAATTTGGTTTTCTTCATTAACTATATGACTTGAAAACGCACAGGAGAAGTGATTAAGGAACTTTGGCATTTTTACAGTATTCTTCTGATGATACCTACTCTTAGCAATCCTGTCATGGTTGCAAAAATTTTGGAGCATGAGATTTACATCTAGTTAAAAATGCAATATTTAGTTACACAGTGATACAGCAAAGGATTTCAAGGAAGAAATAAATGGTGACCAAAGCCTAAAAGAGTTTTGGCATGCAGCTTTTCCTCAACTTATGCTGAAGGTGTCAGAAGCAAAGTGACTGCCCAGGCATTCAGCATCATTTGTACTGAAATCACCATAGTGGAGGGAGGTTTCAGAGACAGTTAATCAGGCACTTACTGAAAATCATCCCTTTCTCACATCTCACAGAGAGGAAGTGAAACTCAGAAACAACTTTGCTGCTCTGAAATTTTTGGCTACTGTTAACATCTGAGTGGACTAATATTCAACATCTTTTTTTTTTTTAAACTCTCCAACTTTACTATGTTCTGTAATGTCAATCTTTAATTCTAAAAGCTTAACAGAGCTATTTGCAAAAAAAAGTGTTCTTCTTCTCTCCTTCCCCCTGAAATCTTTTGAAAAGTATTAATTTACATAGAAAAAAAAAGTGTCTTGTTCTGCTGTGAAGCCTGTAGAGGGAGCCCAGGTTAATAAATAAATCCTTAAACACAAGGGGCAGAGCTATGGGAACATAAACTCATTTGAAAAAAAATGTAGCAGAAAGCAAGCTAGTAATTTTAGCAACACCTCATAATAATGGAAAGATTAACAGCAGAAAATGTATTAATAATATTAAAAATATCTGGCAATGTATTTTCAAAGACTATAGCAAAGATACATTTACAGTGATCAGTGAGCTAACAGATTAGGATCAAGGTAACAAACCCATCTCAGAATATCCTGAGGATTAAGCTGGTTTCTCTCAGGAAATGGCCATGTAGCTGAAAAAGTGAAACTGCTTCACAAGGACAGAAAGGCTAAGGCTCTTTTTTATTCTACATTACCAAGCAGCTCTGACTGCCATACAAAGCTCCCCTGGAAAATGTATCCAGACTGTGTCACTAAGTTATTGATGGCCTGATTCTGTGCTCATTTGCACTAGTGGGACTCTGTTGGCTTCACGGCAATTTCAAGAGACTCTCAGTGCACAACTGAAGAATGGCTGCACTCAGGATATAGAGAGATAAAGCAATACCAGGACATGGAGAGATACAGTAATATCATGTGTCATGAAATCAGTGTTGGCTTGGTGGTTGTCACAATTAATCAAAATAAGCTATGCATAAATTTGTATTATTTCAGAGCAGGTCCAAAGGTGCAGACTCAACTTGACCCTACAATTTGCTTAAAGATAAGTCTATAAATTTAGATTTGTGTTCTAGTCCATTGCCTTAGCCATACCACAATCTTAAGACGCAAATGAAACCCCCCTGCTGACAAACACTGTGCAGGCCTCGTTCTGGTCTGGGCCAGTTTATCCTCCATGAAGGTCAAACAACCTCTCTCTCCTCAGCAGAAAGCTATGAAGCGAATGAAGTTGGAAGACTGGATTTGTTCACAGGCCACAGGTGAAGAATAAAATTTTGCTTTCCTTACCTTTTGCAGGCAACCAGCATAAATAATAAAGCCTTTAGTGTGCAGGTGCTTGGCCAAGGCAAATCCAAACCCTGAATCACAACCTGTTATAAGCACGGCTCTGCTGCCAATCTGCAAAACAAAACAATACAAACAAAAGCACTGTAATTGAGTGCTTGGGATCACAGAATCACAGAATGGTTGAGGTTGGAAGGGACTTCTAGAGATCACCTAGTCCAACTCTGCTCAAGCAGGGACACCCAGAGCACATGGCACAGGGTGGCATCCAGGTGGGTTTTGAAGATCTCCAGAGGAGACTTCACAGCCTCTCTGGGCAGCCTGTTTCAGGGCTCTGTCACCCTCACAGGAAAGAAGTTCTTCCTAACATGGAGATGGAAATTCCTGTGTTTCAACTTGCACCCATTACCCCTTGTCCTATCACTGGCCACCATGGAGAAGAGTTTGGCCCCATCCTCCCTACATTCACCCCTCAGGTAATTGTACATGTTGATCAGATTGCCTCTCAATCTTCTCTTGCCTAGGCTAAAAAGACCCAACTCTCTTAGTCTTTCCTCATACGATATATGCTCCAGACCCTTCATCATCTTTGTCGTTCTGTACTAGACTCTCGGATGAATGACTTGCAGCACACAGAACAAAATTATGCCCTTGGCTAGGAGCAGTGCATTTCAGGGATGTTCTCTACACCCTTTGCCAGCATATTACAACCCAGTACCTCCTGAAGACAGGAAACCTTTATTTTTAGAAGCGCTCCAGCGATGCGGGATTCCTGGCCTCCCAACACAGAGAAGCTCAGCCCCCCTGGCAACAGGCTGTCACAGACAAAAGATCAAACAAACTGCCAAACCCTTGCAGCTCATTTGCCTCTTAAAATCTGAAAGTATGGTGGACAGTTCCCAAAAAATGCTTCCTCTTCCATAGAACTGCTCCGGTATGTGCAGGGGTGAGCAGAGCACCAGGAATACATCAGCCTACTCTCCTGTGCCACACAGCCTGTAGGTGGTGTGGAAGATCAGCTTGATTGAACTGACTGAAGGAATAAGGGGTGAACTAGCTGACTGCTCACTCATCTTTGTCCCTCAAGCACATAAATCTCCTAGTGCTGGTTTTAAAAGCTATGCAAACTCAACAGGTTTAATATTTGGAATTAAGATCTATTGCCTTAATTCTTCAACCTCTAATTTAAACAGAAGCTCACCTTTTTCCTTCCCAAACCCCTACAGTAATCTTTCAAAGAGAAGCAGCATTTAACTGACACGTTAACAGATGAATGGTGTCAAATATTCTAGTAACAATGGGTGTATTAGCACCAAGATGCTGCTGTGGGTGGGATTAGATAATAAGTATTTGCCATTCACTCCAACTCACCACTATTTAAAACTAGAAACTTGGCCTTCCCCATGATATAGTGGGACTCAGAGTGTCACAAGTGCCACACCTGAATCCTCTGAGACTGTTGCAGGCTTACAGAGGGAAATGTAGCTATGTATATGCTCTAGCATTTATTCAATACTGGGTCATGTGTCACAAGCCAGAGATATGGCAAGAATTCACCCCTCCTTTTGCCTGGCACTGTTCCTGGTAGACTAGTGACATTAAGGAAAGGACTACAAAGGAAGAGGGCCACTTTCCACATTCAGAAGCGAGGATAACACCGATTTATTTACATCTCTTCATACCACCATTCTCAGGAAGGAAAGTTTTCTTAAGAATTTGTCATCCAAACTCCCTTCACTCCAAGGCGGAAGATTTAATCTGCTGAGTTCCAAATTTAGAACCCCCCCCTCCCATTAGTCTGATTATTTCCATCCTTAGTAGCATGTACCACGCTACGTCAATGGAAGCTCTGCGCTAGGAAAGAATGCAGAGTATGTTGAAAAGGTCCAGCTCAGAATCCTTCCAGCGGATTAGAAAAATATTTTGGTCCTCGGGATTCAGAGATTTAAAAAACCCAGCTCAGCAAAACTGGTTCCAAGAAATCATACTCACCTGATCCACTTCACTTGCATAAGAGCGGCTGCCACAGGGGGACAAGAGAGGGAAACAAAACCTTTGCACAGGCCTGAGAGAAAATATAGAAGAATTAGGCATGGAATATCTTGCCTGCAGTCTCATGCTGCAGCATATGCTTAAGCAGAGGGTGTTGCTGATGCACACAGTGTACTCTGTCATCTGAGAAGGCAGGAGCTTGTCTAGAGTTTTCCTTAGGTTAAGCCTGTGTGTTTCCTACCTTGTAAAACATTTCTTTCTAAAAAGACCTTGTTGCTACTTCCAGCTGTTTGGATATACTGAGAATTCTACAATAGCTCCTAGTCTGAAGGCACAGGGCTGTCTCCACCTGTGAAGTGGGCAGTGTACGAAGTTTTCATTTTCCAATAGCAACACTTGCATTTAGAGTGGCACAAAGCCGGCTTAGTGGAAATTGTTCATTTTCTTTCTGATGAAAACATACTGCTGTGGCATTGTTTGATACCCAGCCTCAGGTTTACTTTGCTTGGATCTATCTCATTGCCTTTATGTGCAGCTCCACCCTTGTGTCACCTTGGATAACATTTCTTCCTCTGCAGTGTCTGTACCCAGCAGCTACTCAGACAGATCTTATATCCCCTCTTTGTAACTGTTTAAGCTAAGAGTCATCATAGCTTTGAGCAATACCTGCCACGTAGATCTGAAACTCCTCTGTACAATGTGTCCGACTCGCAGGAAAGTATACTGTGTTTGCAAATGCAGACCAGAGTAAAGCAACAGTGCATTCCAGAAAATCAGCACCTATTCAGCAAAGCTGAGCTAGCAGGGGCATTGCACTCGCAGGTCTTGCCACTGCTCATCACAGCTGGACCAGGACACATCAGAATGACCTTAACCATCTGTCCTTGCCAGCTCCCTGCCTGGATTTTATCAGCCCTTTTTTGTGTGTGTTTTCCTTTGGACGCTGCTATTATTCCCCCACAGCCTTTCAACTTTCCACTAGACTTGTTGCTATATTTCAGCTGCCCTCTGGTTTGTCTGACACCTTAGCAGAGTTTAAGTTCTAGGCTGCTCTTCTACCTTGTGAGTGAACCTTCCTAATCACCCACTATTATCTCCTGCTCAGACAGCAGAGGCAGCCAGGGTGACCTGAGCCATCTGAACAGCTTCTAGAGGAGCTCGGCCCTATGAGCTGCACCTTGGGACAACAAGGCTGAACGGGTCTAAAAGGCAGAAACTTTGAACCAGATACAAATGCCCTCCCTGTTGAAAGGATATGATTTACATTAAGTGAACCCAGTCCACTCACCTCTATCATGCATCCATCCATCTCTTCATCTACCTAATTTTGAGTGTCACAAGCCCTGTCTCTTGCAATAGCAACATAATAATCACTGCAGGTCCTGGCTATGTATAACATGACTAACTTTGAACTTTCAGCTCAACACTAAGTTCCTTTGTGCGTCTCAGCCTGGAAATGTTCGTAATACCTTAATGCAACTAAAATGTCATTTTTATTTTTCCATGTAATCTCTGGCCCAATTATTTCACTATAGCACACTGATTTGCTGCTCTCTAATCACAGTAAACTCTAGAGAATAACTACTTGACATTCTGTCTGCCTTGACCTGAAGACAAGGGAGCAAAATAAATGCTGGCTACTGATCAGCAGCAATGTCACCAGAGAAAATTCCTAAGATACGTACCTGATGTTAACCTCACCCCTGCCCCCAGTACATTAATGTGGCAAGAACCATTTTTCGTCATTCTATATGATTGCATTCTAGATACCACCAGGAGATCTTTAAACTGCACAGATGGAATCAAGTCTGTCCTTGTAACGAGCATTTGCTTCAGTTATAGCAATAAAGACAATTCCCAATTTGAGCAATCAAGAATGCAAATGCTACTCACAGAACTAAGATTTTGGGGTAGTGCCTTTCAGATGAACAGCTACATTACCATTACAGACTGAACAGTCTGAGGGTATGTAAAAAAATGTAAAAAGGCTGTATCAAGACCTGAATACCAAAAGCAGAAATGCACAGTAAGCAAAGAATACTCTGAAAATTCTTCAGTTTATAAAATACTCATTTGTATTTTTAAGAAATTTCCTTTGGGCGCAGCTTAGGTCTCTTATGTACTAGATAAAAGCAGATTTCACAGAAAAGGCTCAATTATTAGAGATTTCCCATATTGTATCTTTACAAGGCTCTGTTACAGGAGTTGTCCCTAAGTGTGATGGTGCTAGACACTACCATCAACAGAAATAGAACAGCACAAATGGGAGCAATTTTTGCTCAGCAAGCCATAGGTCATTTTTAAAGCGCTTCTTTATAATTTGTGGTGCACACAGTACAGTTCACTCTGAAATAAAGCCAGTGAAATCACTCAACTTACTCAGAATTTGGAATATTAGGGTCCCTTTCAAACACCACTATAAAGGGAATTTTTTCAGGGCTAGGGATTAGAATCAAGGGGGTAATATTCTGTTCAAATTCAGAACAAAAATCATCTTCATTACTTAATCCGCCTCCCTTTCTCACAAAACCCCTCCCGCTCAGTTTTCTCTCTTCATTTTACATGGTTCATTATCTCTTTAATGGAGTCACAGGAACATATGACTGTTCTTCGCAGAGCAGCAAGGCCTACCTGCTGATATTGAGGAATTAATACCTGCTAGACACTGAATTAACACTCCCCTCAACCCTCTGATTGCAGATGACTGCACAGGTGTAAAAAAAAAAAACTTGTTGCCAAACCCTGCTCTCATATAGAATGCACCTTCTATAAATACACAGTCCCAATGAAATCAAATGCGCCCTCAGCAAGAGCTTTACTCAAGATCTCACTCTGCTCCACCAGGATTCTTACCTGCAGCCATTCCCTGGGTCCTTCACATTCAGGGCTTTCACAGAGAAATTCAGGAGAGGCCGGGACAGTCTGGTTGCCAACATCCTTTCAAGCAATGCACTCTACCAACAGCAACACTGCTCTTCCTTGGCTCTGCAATACAAGACAGCACCTCTCTCACTCAGTCAGTTATTTTGTAAGTCATCCTGACTCCCTGTATTTTAACAAGAAAATAAAGCCTAAAGGAACTCAACTTCTCCCTTTGTAGCCCCTCACATGGAGATGAATAGCTTCAACCACCTCAAATTGCCTTTAAATACAGAAGATTATAAGTAAACTTCCCTTTGTTTACTGTTCCTTAAACAGTATTATATGAAACAGCTAAAAATTAGGATACTTATGTTTGCAATATATTCCTTTAGGTAAGTTATATAACGCATTAAAAAAAAAAAAAGGCTCAAGCGTTCAAGCCAAGGGTGACATTGTGTCACGAGTTTCCAAAGCAATCCTTCGTCTTTACTACAGACATCTGGTTAAAAACATATGCAGCTCTGTGAAATCAAGTAGCTAGCAATATTGGGCACAGAGTGTCACTGTTAGAATTATTATGGGAAGAAAATGACTCGAAAACAGGAGGTAAGAACAGACAATCAATTTATCTAATGTTGATTTTGAATAAAACAGATCCAGCATAAAAAAAAAAAAAACTCCCCTCCTTAAAATACAGCCCTTTTCATTAAAACAGGAAATAGTATCTAATTGTTAAGGTTTAATTACACTTCCTTTCAATTCCGTGTTGCTACTGCACTTTGAGGGGCCTGCTTGGAATAAGGCCTAGACTAAAAAATGCAAGATTATCGTGAAAGGAGCCGTTGAGGGGCTCCGAAGAGAAAGATCCAGAAGACTTGAAGAAAGGCACATCCACATTACTCTCACGTAATCAATCCAGAAGACCAGCTGGTTCTCTAATTACCTGAAATTCAGTGTTGCTGGTCATACTGAATAACTGATAATATACTTATATTAACATATGTATATACACACGTTTTTTCCCCATCAGAAAGGCTGAAACGGCCGTGCCC